GGGCGGGGCCCGGCTCACACCCGGCGCGCGTGCCGCGTGCCAGCCCTTGGCGGGGGGCCAGGCCCAGGCGTGGAGACCTGGCAGGTGGGCAGGTCGGGGGCAGCCGGAAGGGTGTGGAGCACCGCGTCGGAGCGAGGAGGGCGGGACTAGAGTCGAGGGGGCGGGGTGGCCCGTGGCCTGTGGCCCGTGGCCCGTGGCCGGTGCCCGGCGTGGGTCCCAGAAAAATCGCAGGTGCCGGCGACAAAGCGGTTGGTAGTCCGTGCCACCTCGCCCGTGGAGGGAAGGCGGAGAGCGGGAAATCAGGAGGACAGGAGCGCGGAGGAGTGGAGGGCGAAGGGCGAACCCTGGCGGGAGGAGACGAGCGCGGACGCGTCGGGCGCCTTGTCCTCTTCACCTCCGTTCCGGGAGCACGCGGGGGCAGGAGCCCTGGCACGGAGGTCGGGGCGGGAGCGATGCTCCCCTGCAGCCTCATCCCCCTTCCCTCCCCAGGAAAAGGGGGCGATGCTGATCTCGGGTAGAATGACGGGACCTCCCAGCGCCGCCTGAGCCACGAGGTAAGGAAAGGCGAGCGCGGTCCTAGGGTGCCCGGGGCTCTGGCCAAAGGTGCTGTGGCCAAAGGTGCGGGGCGGCGATGCTGAGGCTCAGAATGAAGGCCTTAGAAATTAAGGTGAGCGTGAGGTTAGTAAATGAAACATTAACATGTTAGTGAGGGCCCCTTAAAGCCTTTCAGACCATCGGGAATTCTAGGCACAAGATTTTGAAGGAATCTTTTGGGGACGCTTGGTTCGCTGTGGCCCCGTATCCTTTGCAGGAGTCCCAGCAATCCGATGTAGCTGTGACTGAGTGAGGGTAGGTAGGTGTAGGGTGGCGGAAAAGACTATCTTCCTTGTCTTAGGCGTTTGTGTTTTATTTTAATATATTGATTTCAGAGAGAAAGGGAGAAGGAGAGAGAGATAGAAAAATCAATAGTGAGAGAGAATCATTAATCGGCTGCCTCCTGCACCCTCTCCCCCCCACCCCCACACACTGGGGATCGACTCCCACAACCCAGGCTTGTGCCCTTGGCCAGAATCGAACCTGGGACCCTTCAGTCCGCAGGCTGACGCTTTATCCACTGAGCCAAGCCGGCTAGGGCATCTTAGGTGTTTTAAAACGGGTCCCACCGCCAGCTATCTGTGCCCTGTGTATTGCAATGGTAATGACGCAACTCAGTTCTTACTTTTGGCTCACAGTCTTTCAGAGATACAAAACCATCGGGTTTGGATCCGTGTAGAATTGTTAGCCACTGTCCTGTTCTTAGAATCGTGTCTGATGAAGACTTTTTTACTGGGTCAAGTTTTTTTCTGTCTTGTCTAGGTAGCCGTCTAGGAGGGTTTCCCCACACTTAACCAGGAAGCCCTGTCAGTTTACTCCTGCTGTCTCCAGGTCTGCATGCCTGTGTTCTAGTTTATACTAGAATCTTCCTTTCTCCAGCTACCTGCCTATCCGTATCACGAACGCTTTACCACTACACGTTCTATTCGCACACAGCACCACCTCTTACTTTCCAGCAGTTCCAGTCACCTCTATCACAGCAGTAAAAGATTTGCTGGGAGTGAGAAAACTCGTGATGTTGCAATCTTCAAAGACCTGGGGCATCTTTAGGTTAAACCACCTTGGCCTACGGGGAACATTGTTCGGAGTACTGACATTTGTAACTTGTGACCCAAGAGTTACTAGCTTTGATTTCCTCTCTTCATTGGCCCCAGGAGTTTCAGAATCAATGATGAGAGAGAATCATCGACTGGCTGCCTCCTGCATGTGCCCCACTGGGGATCAAGCCCGCAGCCTGGGCCTGTGCCCTGACCGGGAGTCGAACCGTGACCTTCTGGTTCATAAGTCAGTGCTCAACCACTGAGCCATGCTGATCAGGCACGATCTGTGTCTAGACTAGTTGAAGTCTAAACTTTGTTCCACAAATGACTGACTACAGTGGACATTCTGTTTCTGTCCTAGTTAGTAAGGATTGGGCCACTGGTGAAATTTTAGTAATTAGGTTGTGTGTGCCATGAGATGAAAAAGGTTGAAAAGGTCGGAAGGTCTCTAAAGACCATATGGTATTAATGGAGAGTGAATGGGTGGGGAAAACAGTCGTCCTGAGATCTAATTTAGCCTGTGGCAAAATCAGCTCTGTAGCTTGAAAAGATCACTGAGTTATCTCCGCCTGGTGTCTTTGTAAAGGAGGGTGTTATGAGGGTGTTATCTTAGTGATCTCTTAAGATCCCTTTAAGTTTTTAAATACTATGATCCTGTCCTTGTTCTAAGGACAATGGTATATTCTTTGAGGATTAGCATCTCTTGTGCTGGAGTCAGAAGGGTAACTTTCCCACCTTTCAGCCCCTCCTTCCCAGTTCCCTTTAAGACAGGGTGCCAAGTAAGACTTAGAGTGAAAGCCTAATCCATCTAGGAATGTTGTTGCCTGTGAGCTCCTTGCTTCCCGTTCTGGAGCTGGAGTTGGGGGTCCTAGGGAAATAGGGCCGTTTGGATCGCAGTGATTGGTTCCCTGAAGGGGCCAGAACAAACAGCTGCTGAGTTCCCCTTCGCCTTCCAATTCCTGATCTCAGCATTCGCCGCTTATATAGAGCCAGACCTTCAGTCTGCCTCGCTCCAGACACACAGCTTCTCCGGGCAGCTCTGCCTCAGACCGGGATTGCTTTAGGTAAGTTGTCTGCCCCAGCAGGATAAGACCACTCTCCCTGGCTGTTCCCCTGGCCCCAGCTCCTTGGCTGGTTTGCTTCTCCCCAAAGTATTCTACGATCCTGACTCTGAACTGCTGGTCCCAGCATGTTGCCCTCTCACTGTTTTTTCAAGAAGCTATAACTTTATTAATGATAGAAACAGGACAAATTTCAAACCAAGCTGCAGTTACTTTTTTTGAAACTCAAAAAAGTCCTCATTTTTATTTTTCAAAGAGTGTTTATTTATTTTTAAATATATTTTTACTAGAGGTCCGATGCACGAAATTTATGCAAGAGTAGGCCTTCCTTCCCCCAGCTGCCAGCACCGGCTTCCCTCTGGCACCCGGGACCCTGGCTTTGCTCAGGCCGCCAGCAGGCACCCAGGACCTGGGCTTCCCTCCAGCCCAGCCTTCACCCGGAATGATGTCTGGTCTAATTAGTATGTTACCCTTTTATTATTATAGATTGATTTCAGAGAGGAAGGGAGAAGAAGAAAGAGGGAGAAACATCAATGGTGAGAGAGAATCATTGATTGGCTGCCTCCTGCATGCCCCGCGCTGGGGATGGAGCCTATAACCCGGGCATGTGCCTTGACCAAGAATCAGACCGTGATCTCCTGGTTCATAGGTCGACTTTCAACCACAGCCACGCTGGGTCAGGCAGTCTTGTTTAAATTTTATGTCCTTAACTGTCACATCTGTTTCATCAGCCTCTTCCTCTTCACTTTTGTACAGTTGGAGTGGTTTTTTTTTGTTACCTTTTTTTTAAAAAAATAAATCTTTATTGTTCAGATTATTACAGTTGTTCCTCTTTTTCCCCCTCATAGCTCCCCTGCACCTGGTACCCCTCCCCCTCTCCGCTCTCACCCCACCCCCACCCCCCCT